CCGGTATGTCAAATTCCATCACTCACTCAAAATTCTTTGAACGTTTGAAGTCATTTGTGTCAGTTAAAAAGTATGGTTTCTGGTTTTGCTTTTCAGGGAAATAATAAATCCACCTACATCTGTGCAAACCACAATGGAAAAGTTCGATTCTTCAGTGCTCTCCTCAAGAGTGATGGCACGCTGGTAAAGAAGGAGGTGAGTTGTACTTGCATGAGACTAGTTCATGCATGACATGCTCATAAAGCCTGTTATCTAATTCCTGTGTTATACTACACAGATTTGTGTAAATCGGCTCCGTGAACTGTAGTAGTTTCAGATTATCTTGCTTGGCGATGAAAAAGACTTTTTTATCTATACTTAAATGTAATGTTTTGTCCTACAACTAATATTGACTTTAAATGGAGTGCACAAAGTTGTGCACACAGTCTTTTTGAACATGATATTCAAGAAAGATCAAGGCAAATGTTAATTGAAATTGTCACTATCTCAATGATATACTGTATATATATATTTATTACAGTAACAGATCAATGGAATCTCAGTGTCACCTGTCTTTGCTCTACAGCTGAATGTGAACTCTGTGAAGGGCAGTGTCAATGGAGACAAAATTCAGTGCTCCTTTATGGCCACTGTACCAACTTCAGATATTAGAGCATCAGCAACATCTTTGTCAATGGGAGTCTCCACTGGAACTTACAACAGCAGTAGGCTAACACATTAAAGATACATATTCACATCTACCTCATATGTATTTTCAATACTGTTATATTTAATATAGGCTTTGCCCTCTAAAAGCTGTCACTATTGGGTTTATCCCTCATACATGCGTAGTCCTAAACAAATTCTTTCATACCCTGTGCCCTGCACTGAGTTGTCCCCCATGAGGACCGCTGTGGTGTAATAAAAGCCAGTGTAACTTACGATTGGCTCCCTCTTTTTATTCAGCAGTCAAAAGAGCAATTCCTTCATCATGATGGTGCTGAACGTTGAGCTGAAGTCCACAAAGAGGGCCTGTGCATAGGTCCCTGGGGAGTCGAGGTGTTGTTGAATGTAATGCAGTGCCATGTTCACTGCATCGTCCACTGACCTGTTTCCCCATTCTCGATGTGGCAGTCAGTCATGGGCATGATTGCACCTGCTTCTCAGTCAAGGACTGATGCTGGAGAGAGGATGTTGTTTTTGGGCTGCTATTATGGGGTATATTGGCTAGCTGAGATGTTGTTTTTAATGCTCTTTGGCAGCGGGGTGCCAACAGGGCATTGACTACATCCAGCTGTGCTTTTATCCCAATAGCAACAGCTGTTAGAGGGCAAAACCTATACGAAATAGAATGATGGTTATGTACAGTAACCCAAGCCTCTATGAGTATAGGCGTAGCCTTCTAAGCTGGCAGCCCTGCTGTCGCCACGCCCGCCAGCTGAAGGAAAAGTGCTGGTGTAGGGAGCCGATCACAGGTCACACTGGCATTTATGCTACCATAGCGGACCTAATTCAGGACAGCCCAGTGCAGGACACAGTGATGATGATGATGAAACCCAATAATGGCAGCTTTAACAGGGCAATGACAATACTCATAGAAGCTTAGGTTACTGTACTTAGAACAGCAGTAGGCTGACACATTAAAGAATTGTAATACCCCAGTTCTTTAATTGGACAGCTCTGAATAGTCTGTCTTTCTTCATCTAGTGCTGATTTATTTTTAACCACAAGTAAAATTACAAACATGACCCGGGTTGCACCCCCTTCCAGAGACATGCACAGGCTGCTGGAAAGTGGAGTCCCGGGCCACACAAATCCTAATACATTTATAAGTTTTAGGCTAACCCTTTACCCAGATGAAGTCAGTCCGAAGACTCCATCTCTTATTTAGTGCTCCACATGCTTTGAGCAGCTGCATTTTTACCTAGTCATAACAAAATGATGTGTGTGTATATTGTCACATGGTGTGTAGCTAAGGCATTCATTCATATATTTATTCAGACATGGTATTCTAACACAAGATTAATACAGGAAAACAATTGGTGTCATAAGTACCTATGGTTCACTTTTCAGAATCAACATTCTGTCTGCTAACCTTGAAACAAAACAGACTAGAGCAGACTTTAAATCTTACTAAACTGCAATACTAACACATTAATGTCTAACAATTATCTAACTGATTTACTAATATCTAACAGATACATGTTCACAACTACATCATATGTATTTTCAATATTAATACTGTGCTATGTGGTAAAAACACATCAGTGATCTCTTTGTTTTTTCTTTGCTCTCTCAGCTAATGGTGATTTGGGCCCAGCCAATTCCCAATTGAAGACCAGTGTGGTGGACCTGTCGAATCCTAACGCCACTGTCACTTATACAAATTCCACCGGTGCATTGGCAAATGCCACCAGTGCACCCACATCACTTACCTCCACCAGTGCACCCACATCACTTACCTCCACCAGTGCAATGACAAATGCCACCACAGCTCCCCCACTGACATTTAACGACACAGTGACAACTCTAAATGTAAGTGTTGCCAAACAACAACAAAAAAAGTGCAATAGAAAGATCATGTTAATTGAATTTTGTTGAATGTCATAAAAAGTCCACATAATCCTGCCGAATTAAAGTTTTTCTCGTCTTCCTTGCAGGCAACAATTTCCAACGTAGAGTGTCGGAAAACACAACTATGTGCAGCTAAGCCCGATGGGTGCGACCCCTCCACGTCAGGTTCCTGTTTCTTTCTTTCTACCCAGAAGCAGAGTGATCTGAACTATAATTTTTGGCTCTCAGGAAACTCACAAGGCTACATCGCTGCCACCTTGTCACCTAACGCCTCACCGGTATGTCAAATTCCATCACTCACTGAAAAATCTTTTGTTTGAAGTCATTTGTGTCAGTTAAAAAGTACGGTTTCTGGTATTGCGTGACAGGGAAATAACGATTCCACCTACATCTGTGCAAACCACAACGGAAAAGTTCGATTCTTCAGCGGTCTGCTCCAGAATAATGGCACACTGATGAAGAAGCCGGTGAGTCGTATTTGCCTCAGATTAGTAGTGCTGGAGGTAGAGCTGAGTAAGGATATACTGTATTTGTGTGTTGGAGCCCACTTTCCCTGCAGACTGGCATGCTTTTCATTTCTTTTCTTGTATTCTTCACAAAAGGAAACTAAATTAATAAAGATTCCTCATAGCAGCTGCATGACTTGCTCCTAAAGCCTGTTCTCTAATACTGTTATATTACACATATTTGTGTAAATTGGCACTGTGAACTGTTGCAGTTTCAGATTATCTTGTTTGGGCATAAACAATACTTTTATATCTATACTTAAATGTAATTTTTGCCCTACAACTCGAAACAGAGACTTAACATTTAATGGATTAATTAATTAACATTAATTCAAACCATCACTATCTCAAGGATATATACATATTTATTACAATAACAGATCAATGGAATCTCAGTGTCTCCTGTCTTTGCTCTACAGCTGAATGTCAACTCTGTGAAGGGCAGTGTCAATGGAGACAAAATTCAGTGCTCCTTTATGGCCACTGTACCAACTGCAGATATTAGAGCATCAGCAACATCTTTGTCAATGGGAGTCTCCAATGGAACTTACAACAGCAGTAGGCTAACACATTAAAGATACATATTCACTTCTACATCATACGTTTTTCAATATTAATATAGTTCTAAGTGCTAAAAACACATCAGCAATCTTTTTGTTTTTTACTTGTTCTCTCAGCTACTGGTGATTTGGGACCAGCCATTTCCCAAATGAGGACCGATGTGGTGGACCTGTCAAATCCTAACGCCACTGTCACCTATTCAAATTCCACCGACGCCAGCACCACCGCCAGCACCACCGCCTCCTCCACTGCTGCTCATCAGCCACCAGCAATCTCCACCAGTGCACCGATATCAGCTGACTCCACCATTGCACCGGTATCACCTATCTCCACAAGTGCACCGGTATCAGCTAACTCCGCCAGTACACCTGTATCAGCTAACTCCGTCAGTACACCTGTATCAGCTAACTCCACCAGTGCATTCTCCCATTCTCCCCTGTAGCTCTGCTGATCACTGTTAGTGTGTTGGGTCTGCCCATGCTATGAGCAAACTGAAATCCCAGGGAGTCAAAAGATACCATCATCATTTGCAACTTATTATAAACATCTAATAAGAGGTTAACTATACACACACAGTGTCTAAGGAATCATACTGTATTCTGTATCAACTTACTTCAGATTAAAGAATAAGGAGTGAAGGAGGGTCATCAATCTTCTACAGCCTTTTGACTGTTTTCACATCTGTTACAGTCTGAAAATGAAAAGAAATTCTTTTAAGAGATTGTTTTAATGCAGTCCATTCAGTTCTATGAGTTACTTTATTGCATTTTTGAATGGCTAGAATAAAGTACAAATGAGAAATACTATTACAAGTGGAACCAGTACAAGTAATCAAACATGAATTCCAAATGAAGTGAAAGGGTACTTGGCTTTCATCAGGGGGTGTCATGCTTTATACAAACTGTGGGGTTGGGGTGTGGTTACCTTCTAAGACCACATTACTACCATCAGTGAAAAATCTAATAACTTAGCTCTAGGGGTTACCTATGATGCCAGGGAAATATGTGTTGGTTAATTTCAACAGTGCATATTATGTCTGAACTCTAGGCTCTTTTATTATCAAAGAGCAGAGGAACTAATGAAGGACTTTTTGATAAGCATGGTTTTCATTTGATTGTCTTCACAACAGTTTGCAGTGTCCTCATTTGTCCCCTTATTTTGTTTTGTGTATGCCACTACACATTTATATTAAGGTGTTATGTTTCTTATGGCATTCAAGATGAGCAAAGAAATGTTATTCCCCTCTCCTATAATTCATATATGATCTGCATTATGTTTTTCTCTTTAGTGTGAATGTACATGTTGTTGATGTTATGACACTGAAGCTTTTGTTGGCTGATATTTTTAAGTGTGCAAGTATATTGTGTAAATGAGCAGCTGCTCATAAACAATGTCACATGATCCCTGATATTAAACATTACGTAACAATGAAATATTAACTAATTTTTTTTTTTTTTTAATTAAGGGACTGATCTGATCTGCGTGCCATTAAATAAAATGTCAGAAATTGTTGACAGATGGGAAACAGACTGTATCATGAACAGCAGGGCTGAATGTAAAACTAGTTGTTTAGTTTAAATATTTATACAGGTATAATAATGTAATACCCCAGTTCTTTTATTGGACAGCTCTGAATAACGAAGGAGTCCATCTTTCTTCATTTTAGTGCTGATTTATTTTAAACCACAAGTAAAAATTACAAACACAACCGGGGTTGTTCCTTCCTCCAGAGACACACTGGCTGCTGGAGAGAGGAGTCCCTGGCCACACAAAGCCTAATATATTTATAAGTTTTGGGCCACCCCCTTACACAGATAAAGTCAGTCCGCAGACTCCATCTCTTATCTAGAGCTCCACAGGCTTGGGGCAGCTGGATTTTACCTAGTCATAACAAAATGAGGAAGCGCAATGTCTGTGTATGTTGTCACGTGGTGTGTAGCTAAGCATTTATTCAGACATAATATTCTAACACAAGATTAATACAGGAAAGAATTGGTGTCATAACTAACTGTAGCTCACATTTCAGAATCAACACTCTGTCTGCTAACCTTTAAACAAAACTGACTAGAGCAGACTTTGAATCTTACTAAATTGCATTACTAACACATTAAGGTCTAACAATTACTAATATCTAACAATAATAATAAAATATTTTTAACAGGCAGAAATACAGTACACGTGTCATACAATACATAAAAGCATTAAAAAAATTTAAATGCTTCATGTTATAGTGCAAGACATTGACTCTATAATATAGATTAAATACTCTATCTAAAATCTTGCCAATATATATAAGTGATATGAGGTTAATAAACAAGGAGATGCAAATAACATAATATCATTTTGGGAGGGAAAGTGTGAAGGTGAATTCAAGCATTTCAAACTTTACAAAACCAGGTCTGTTAAAGTGTTTGAGATTACGTGTTAAAGTGGTCCACATGTAATATTTAACCCGGTAGTTTCTCAGGAATCTTTAACCATGTAAAACCCAAATATAGAAAAAAAATGAGCAAAAAAATTTTTGACCTCAGATATTGTTTTAGGAGGCCTCTGATGTAGGAATGAAAGAGTTTTCACAATTTTTACATTTTAGTAAGTTTTTAGGGAAATGTTGTAATATTGCAATGTTTGGGCCTAGTTGGGAGCAGAATTTCTGTGTTTGTATAGGAACCATCTCCAAACAATAATAATAATAAATACTGGAAACAACAAGAGTGTGATTGCTTTCAGCAATCACACTAATAATCACACAACAATCATATTTTTTATGAATAAGCATTTATTCATGAATGAAGTCTGTTTACTTGCAGTGATAGTCCCTAAGACAGTTCTTTTCATCTGAGAAACACAGGCGAACATTGCACTTGCTACACAGTGTGTTTGTGTATCCATTATTGCATTGTCTGTAGTGTCCTCTCTTCGTCTTTACTGGGAAATTTGCGTACATACAGTGGGGGGTGGTCCGATGACCTCTTGGCTGGGGTACTCACATCTGATGAGGATGGTCTCTTCTGAGGATGCAAAGGGCTCCTTGATGTCGCTGTCTTCCCTGAAGATGGTCGCCCTCTCTTGGGTGATGTGTTGTGTGTGTTCACCAGGATGAGAGAGGATGCAAGTTGTGCCTGAAACTGTCTCCTGTTCAGTATCTCTTTCTTAGTCATGTTGTGAAAAATTATTAACAACGGCATACTTTAAGGTTGATTTTAACATTTTATGAATTAAAAACTTAATTAGTAGAAGATTAACATTATGCTTGTTGATTAGTCAACCTGTGTGTTTACTTTGTGTATGGTAATTCTGTCATAGTTAAGATTTAGTTTAGAGCACACATAAGTTTGCTTACTTATATGTTACAATTATGTTTACATAGTTGAGTATATCATTCTATGTGTTCACTGAATTCTTGGCCAGTATTTACTGTGTTAGCCAACTGGAGCACTGTTTAACATCAAAGGGAGACTGGTTCACTAAAACACTGAATCACATTAGATTTACAGCTTTAGCAAAGAGGGTCCACAGTTAAGTTATATTACCACCTGGCTGAAGAGGCCAGGGAATTTGGGGTCACTGGGACACTAAGGGTAATAAACAAGAGATTAGATCTAAAAGCCAACAAGAGGAAGACAACTTCAAAAGACAGGGCAATATACAGACACACACAGGCAAGACAGTTTAATTAGCCAAACGGGAAGCCATGTCACATATAGTGTAACAAAGAAAGAAGTGAGTGTAGGAATTTAGACAGAGTAGAATTTCCTCCATCTTTAGGAAGCGACCGGACCAGCCTACAAGGGCACATTTGAAATTGTATAAAAACAACTGAATGGAGGAGGACAGCGTTCCTTCTCATCTTGAAGACAGGTTGAACGGTTTTGCTGTTGAGGTCAGGCCTTCAGATAGAGATGGAACCCAGAGCTCTGTAAATTGCTTTATTCGATGGTCTGTTTAGTTATGATAATAAATGTTTGAAAATTGATATTTGATTCCGATTATTCTTCATGAAAGAACACGCTGCAGTCATCTTCAGAGCCTTACAGTCCGGCCTGTAGAGGAGCCAGCCGTTAATTACAGCAAGAATGATGGTGTACCAGAAGATGTAATTGTACCAGCAGTGAGATTTTATGGGGAACTTGTACTTGGCAGCAAATTAGTCCAACAAATCCACACCACCCATGTATTTGTTGCAGGTACTGTTAGGTATTTTTAGTCAGATAGACATGGGTTAGACAATTCGTATATTAGAAATGTTTAGTGTAGACAGGATATCTAGCTCAGGCTGTTAAATGCTTAGTCATTCCCATGGGGTACTCTAGGTTGCTTATGTTCAAGGATAACTAGATAGAAAGTTGATTACTGTTAGGAGACAGAATGTTTATTATTATTGTTATGACATGTTTAATCATAATCGTAATCATAATATTTTCTTATGCTTAATGTCATGACATGTCACTAGACGTCATGTCAGAATGTCTTAGATACACACCACACAATCAACAGACAATCACACATTGATTTTCTTCATGCTTTGACTACTGCTATGGCCAGCTGCAAAGCTGGCACCGGGAGACGTCACGGTTTGGTGTCCCTGAGTAGTATGGGCTAGCCCAAAGTGATACTTTGTCTCTCATAAGTGTCTCTCAGAGTTAGCGTGGTGAAAAGAACTGGGTCCAACAAATGGTGCCGCGATCTTGTGCGCCGACTAAACTCTCAGATGACCAGTTCGTCGTCCCGGATCAACAAATGGTGCTGTAATCCTGTGCCTGGCTGAGCTGTAAATTCAACATTCGATCCTGAATTGGCTGGGATTTTGAGACGGAAGAGTGACCTGGGTCCCTTTCGAGCTGTGGGCTGGTGTCACACATCAACGGGTCGTCCACAAACAAAGGTAAGCAGGATAAACCTTTGTTATACATAAAGCCTACACATTGGATTTATACCAAATTTGGTTGATGTGTGGACTGCCCACTCTCGACGCATTAAATTGGAGTCGAAAACAGTAAGGATAATAAAACACATTTGTTTGGAATGATGTGCTGATCTGTTCACTGACACACGTAACAGTTAACAAGCACATACTCTCACTTTGAGGGATAGAGAATGAGTGCTGTTGATTACAGAATTTGATACCAATAAGGGACATAATATTCACGTTTTATAAGTGAAATTCCGCTACCTCATAGCAGGTTGTCTCTCCAAAAGTCTGATTTCTTTTTGATTTGCCTCCAGTTGGAGCACAGGTGGAGAATCATCTTGACTGAACAGATGCTCTCTGGTAAATGCCAAATGTAATAAACGGCACAGGGAAATGGCCAGTTTGTTGTTTTCTATGAAAATGTGGGGTGGTTAACTGCATAACAGGCCGATTAAACGTTGTTCACAGTCGTATCGGAGCCGGACAATAGGTTCGGTTGTGAGAATTCACTGTGATTCAACGCGCCTTATGCAGCTCTGTATTTGGTCCAGGTGGTGCAGCTTACTGGGAACTGTTTATTAGCCTTAGGGTGGCAACTGTCCTTATGAGATAAAACAGTGTAATCGGTTGGGGAAACCCCCAGGAATTGCACGCACCAGGATTAGCCTGGTGTAGGAGTTTCGCAGTTCGATCGATCCACTGGGCGAGACCTCTCATAATGGACAGCGTCACATGTGGCATAAATATCCTCCAATATGGCTGATTGTAATATTATGCAGAACTGGCAGAAATGCAAACCAGGGACTCTAGGTGCTATTTTGTATCAGCTTTTAAACAAATGGCTGGGCACGTTGCATCCCAGTCAGCACAGTAGTGAAACACAGCGTTTTGTGTTATGGACAGAGCAGATGAGTGTGAAAGGCATGTTTAATACCTATGACGAAGCTCCCCCAGAAGAGGGAGCTCTAAGACTGTATGTGAAACAGGCAGCGCTGTCAGCGGCCAAGGCACGTTTATGTCATAGTCGAGCGTCTTTATTACAGAAACACAAAACGGAGGCTAAACTTAAACACTGTGAAACATTTCTTCAAGACTGTCTTTGCTTTTTGGCTGAATTTGAAAAAATTAAGAAAGCCACAGCCAGCGTAAATGAAACACAAATGCCTGCTACTCTTTCCAGTGACACACACACAGACAGAGAGCTAGTCTCTCAGGCTCACACACACAGAGACTTAGATAACAGCCTACAGCAGGCTGAAGGACACTCACAGACTTTCTCACCCCCTCCTCCCTCTCTGGCTCCTGTGCATGAAGGAAGCGGGGAGTCAAAATTTAAAAGTAATGCATCACGTCAGATGCCATTAATTACTCCTGCTGTGAGTAATCAACATATTTCGCCACTGGTTATTGTCCTCGGGGGAATATTAAAGACAGCTGCTTATCCCGGTAGTGAAAGTGACTGTCGTAATGCACAGCAATATTTGGATTGCGTTAAAGCGAAGTCTGAGGCGCAGACTGCTGCTCACAGTGATAAAGCTTGCGCTTATGGTCATGGTGGTGCTTCAGCAGATTCAGGCCCTGTGAAAAAGTTGCAAAAAGTGTGTGGTGTTTCAGTGAAAACTCATAGTTCTGGTTGTGGTACTGATTCTGCTAGTTCTGTGAGAGGGAAGAAAACGCATGTCTGTCACATGGCAGTGCTGGCTATGACTGAAAGTGAATGTTCCAGTTGGGACAGTAGTGAAGATGACAAGCTGTATGCTTCTTCTTCACGACATAAAGACAAACAGAGAGGCAACATTCATGATAAATGGCGCATACGTGTTTCTGAGCGCATGCGCCTGCTTCATGCCAGCTCTGGGTGATTTCAGATGCATTTTCACAGCTTGTAGTTCTCTCAGTATGCTACAAGAAGTTGAAGCCTTAGCGAGCACAGACGGAGACGGTGATTCAGTCTCACTTCACACTGTAATACATGAGCTCTGGCCTGTGGTCAGGATGAAATATCCACTACGAACCCAGAGTGTCAAGCTGTCTCGCATTCCTCTGCAGACGGGGGAGACAGGAAGTCAGTACCTTATCAGGGTACGTGAACTTTGGCACAATTACAGTGGTGAAGATCCTGTGATGGTTGACAGTGTTGGTCTACTATTCCGCAGTGCTGTTGAGTCTTCCCTTTCTGTACATATCCAGCAGCTGTTGAAACAGGTGATAGGCTTAAATGCTCTCCCCTTCGAGCAGTGGTCAGCTTACATCATTCAGTATATTGATAATGACAAAGAAGCTAAGGAGAAAGATGAGAATGAACTCTCCTCCTTACAAGCACAGCTGACAAAAGCACAGCTTAAAGAGATGAGAGATAAAGTTAACCAACACAAAGCTGCAGATAAACAGATGTATGCCAGTGCTACACAGCAGTATGCACAGCCTTCTGCTTTTTTTACACAATGAACAAGCACCTGCACCTGGACAGCCTCAGTCCTACTCATGGAATTCACAACCCGTGAGTAGTGGCTTTCAGAATCGTGCCAGACCATGAGCACATGGTCAAGGCTCCAGGGCAAACAGGAGAACTCTTGTGAGAGATGACA